GGGGGGTTGAGTCTCCTGTTAGATTAGTCGAGGTCTCTTCACATTGGTCAGACAATCCCGCTTAAAACAATTAATAATTAAAAATAAGATAAACAAACTAAGGTAATGATAAGGATAATCTAATTGAAAATATTTTGAACATAATATAACATCTAAAATATAAATATGAAAATAAATATAAAATATTCTTAAATCTCAAGAAATTTCAAAATCTACATTGATTCGAATTATTGTAAATCTCCTGAAAGCTGCATCATATGTTTCTTAAAAATACATGTTGAACCCATCAGGTCCAGGGGCCTTGTCTCCATCAAGGAGCTTGATAACAGCCTCTACCTTTTCTTTCGTGAAAGGCCTTCAAAGCCAATCACCTTCTTCTTCAGAGACTCTGGCTAAACCATCATCTTGCCACACTGGTCTCCATCTTTCATTTTCCGAGAAAAGATTTTCATAAAAAACCTACAATATGCTCCCTGATAATTTTTACTTTTTTTGTTTTGTTTTGAAAAGGTAAAGAAGGTTTAGTAATTGCATACCAAGATTGTACTAGAAAGAAATACAAAACTGCTGGGAATATCCATGCAGTTAATTATAACATTTTCTAAGTAACTCCATAAAGTCCATGGAATGATCAATACGATCTACCATACTGCTATTACACCAAAGAAATAGATTATGCAAACACTTATTTTTTATTCTAAAAATATGATCTTTCTACCCATCAAAGCAAGCTTTATTCCTCTCTAGCCAAATGGTCCAGAATATGCAGAGATATGGTTCTCCAAATCTGTTTAAGTGCTTTATGTGTCTTCTGATGCTGGCAACCATTCAAAAGGTCCTGACATTCCGAGGCATGGTTCGCGAAATCCCACATAAATTGGAAAAGAGCTCCCAGCACTTTCTAGCATATCTACAATGCAAGAGAAGGTGATTAGTAGTCTCCGGTTCTTCTTTACACAAATAACATCTGCTACAAAGAACAAAGCCTCTCTACTGAAGATTATTTTGGGTAAGGCAAGCTTCCGAAGCAGCAGTCCAACCAAAACATGCAACCTTTACGGGAGCTTTGTTCCTCCATATCATTTTCCAAGGCCAATTAGGTTCCTAGTGACTTAGCATTTTTCCTTAACAAATTATAACAGCTTTTGACTGAGAACTTTCTGTCATTACTAGCATTCCATAATAATGAATCCTTCTTCCACCAATATTCCATCAGTTTCAATTCTGTCAATACAGTTATATCTCTTGTGAGGATTGTCTTGCTTTTGAAAGAATTTTGTATTTTTATCTCCCCGTTTTATCCAAAGGCATCTCGACTTTATTTCCATGAAATTTCCTCAGCTTTAGCAATATCTTCAAATTCTCTGAGTCCCTTTTGCTGTTATTCTCTTCTTCTCCCTGTATCTCCAAATTTTTATGATCCAACTGTTCTAGTCTTGCCATAGCCTTACCCTTTCTTTCTTCAAGGCTGCCAAACACTTCACGGTTCGATTTTTTGATATCATTCTTCAGCAGCATTAATTTTTCAACCAAATAACATCATGCTGACCCTCTACTTCATAGGAGTTCCACCAATGCTTCAGCAAAATCAGCATGTTCAAACCATATACTCTCGAACTTAAATAATCCTTGCCTCTATTCTAGTCACCACATTCCCATAAAATTGGGCAATGGTCGGAAGCCACTCTTAGAAGGCACTATTTGCTTGATAAATTTGAAGTATTCATCCCATCCATTCAAAATAAAAATCTGTCTATTCTTAATGCTCAATGAGTGCGCTGCCTTAAAACTTCCATCTTTAACTCGAGAAATGATCAAGATATAATCCTATCTGAAAGTTCTGAAAGTAATGTCTGCAATAGTTCATCTTCTTGTATAATAAAATCTCTCAAACCTGCATCAGAAATTGCATCTTATGTTGATCAAAACACCATGCATGACTTCTTCCCGTGCTTTATTGGCATGAAAGCTGATAACAGTGTATTGATTTATACTGATACCACTAACAACTTGATAAGAAGAGTAGCTAACAGTCGTCTTATTTATGTGGCAGCACTCCATTTTGGGAGAAGTGGAGGGTATGTCAGCAGAAACAATGTTATTGTTGTGGAGCATGAAGGAGAGGCACAATCCTGATTCCAAATTTAAGTTGTACTTCGATACACTGCCAGAGAAATTTAAAACAGGTTTGTCTCTTTGAAATGATGTTTTTTTCTCGAATTGAATAAGGTATTGCTGGTCTGCAATCCCGTTTAGTATGGAGTTTAATCCTTCCTCTGTACTTGTCTCTGTCTTGTGATCACTTATCGACCTTAGCCCACTAACCCGTAAGTGCATAATCTACATATGTGTGCGTTTACACGTAATTATGTTTATGTATATGTATGTGTGTGTTGTAGGTGCAGAGTTGGGTTGAAATTGCATGTATCCTTCTGGTTGTACAGATTACCAACACCCTCTTATTATTTAAAGTTTACCTTTTGCTCCTTCCACCCAGTCTATTTACCCACCCAATAGAAAGAAAGAAAATTCTTCAAGAGTTTGACATGATTAATCAAAGTACAATATGCTCTATATCTCGTTGTTCCTTATTTGAAGCCATATTCCTCTATTTTAATGTGCTTGCACTTTTCTTATCTTCTTCAGGGGTGTGTTATTGTTCAGCTTCATGGCTTATATGACATCCTTTTTTGGTCATGTATACTATACAGGTTTGAGTTTTGGGATTGAAGCTATAATGTCCTTAGACGGAACCTTGCTGTTAGAAGAGATTGTCCAAGCAAAAGAGGTTTCAATCTTTAATCCATTTTGTTTTAGGTTGATATGCTGATCGAACATTAAAGTTTCCCCAAAAATTTGCATAAACATAATCAGTAGAAAAAGGTCAGGTGTTCTTGTTGCTTCTTTTTTCGATAATTTGATTGTGATAACATATAAGTAAGGTGGTTCTCTTTCACTCTTATCTTTCAATGTCATGTATATGGCTTTATATACAGAACAGGTTGAGAAGCAGCATCACCTAAATCCCATAAAATCTGGGATTTTGGGATTGTACAGAATCATATAAAATACAAAAAGAATCAGTAATCTAATATTCTAGATTACAACAATTATCCCTAGATTCCTTCAATTGGTAATGATAGTAAGTTGTTCTTCTGTCTATATTTATGTGAGAATTAATAACTCGGAAAATTATATTATTGATGTGTATTAACTATAATACAAGTACCCCTATTTATAACTATACACAATACCTACACTACTCCTATTCCATGTAGGACTATGCTTATTTACATAACAACTAACTAACAATTTGGTTTACCATTAGTATATTAATTTCCTCTACTACTTTAAAAGTCACCATAAAACGTGAGAGCCTAGAGCAATTCAAGTTGACTTGGTGACACTATTTTAGCACTATATTTCTGAACTTGTATTTTGTTTATTCCATGTCCCATTCTCCCAGCATGAATTGAATAATGTTCTTGCAGCACTTGCGTACACAGTATGATGAATTATTTCCAGCCCTATGCAATGATCATCTGGATGTATTTCCTCCAGAGCTGTACACCTGGGAGCAGTTCTTATGGGCTTGTGAACTTTGGTACTCTAATAGCATGAAAATTATGTTTAATGACGGAAAACTAAGGACCTGCTTGGTTCCGATTGCAGGGTTTCTTAATCACTCGGTAAGTGTATTCCTCCCGACAATCTTTATTCCTCCCTTATATGGTAACTGTGAAGTCTAATCTTGTGAAATTACTTGATGTATATGGAGCTGTACCTTTGCTTGCTGATTTAAGCTCTTGTGACATACCATCCATGTCCCCAAAAGTTTAAATATCAATAAGTTGGAATATCTTGTTGTGTTGAGAGTTTCAAAGAGTATCAAAACACCATTGAAAATCAGTTTCTTCACATAATTTTTGACGTCTTTCTGGATTTTGTCATTTCTCTTTCCTTCAGAGTTGTCCGCACATAGTGCACTATGGAAAAGTAGATTTCACGACAAATTCTATTAAATTTCCTTTGTCAAGACCGTGCAATGCAGGAGAGCAATGTTTTCTTGGCTATGGAAACTTCAGTAGTTCTCATTTACTGACCTTCTATGGCTTTCTCCCACAACTAGACAACTACTACGATGTGATTCCTCTAGGTAAATTTCTCTACGGTGAAATCTCTTCGTACCCAAGTACAATAAATTCGTTGGTGCGTATTAAACAAGGGCTTGTTTGTGTGGCAGATATTGATGTTGAAAGTAATGAAGGTTTTGCGGACACTGGCCCTACGTCTGATTGGACCTCCCATATGATTCGTGGAACCTGGTTCTCAAAGAATCGTGGCTTCTTCCGTTATGGTTTACCGCCTTCTCTACTGGATCATATGCGTAGATCTCGGAATCCTTTTTTGCAAACATTCAACCTTGTAATCCCTCATAAGTTTCTATGTTACCACTTTTCTTTACCCTGTATCCCCTGTCTTACTTTCTTCTCAATTTTTACAATTTCTTTTTCCTCTAGCTAATGTCAAATATATATTGTCCATGAATATGCTTCACCTGACATACATATACTCTTTACAGACACCAGAGAAGTTGGAAATTGAACTCGAAATACTTAGAGACCTTTGTTCTATGTTCCAAGATATGACGGATGCACTAGGAGATGCTCAACTTGATGACAGGTAACAGACATGATGAGCATGTCATTCTAGAGAAATGAATTCCATCGACCTAAGCAATAGTTTATTTTTACATTTCAGGGAGACCACAAGTTGGGATACAAAGCTTGCACTGGATTTCAAATATTTACAGAGGAGGATTTTCTACTCCGTTGTTGCTTCGTGCCAGGCAGGTTGTGAGTTGGTAGAAAGCGAACTGCAAAGATATAGATTGTAGTTTCATTACGGGAAGGGACAGTGTGTGCTAAGTATATGAGGTGTGGGCTTCAAAGAGTTTTGTTATATGTCCATTCTAGTTTCCGTACCAAAGGTCCGACTGAATTAGCCTTTTCTGTCGTACCAATGAAACAATGATAATAGTTTTCTCTAACAAGAAATCTAGGCAAGTGGTTTATAACCATCTTTTCTTCCTACTAGCTGGTTAAATTTAAGTTCTTGTCTTATTCTTAGGCAACAGAGCCAGTAGAAATTTTGTAATCCTCTCACAATTTTCAGGCTATCATCTCAGTGATTCTTAGTTTTCTCATCGCCTCTATTTGGAATCGTGGTATGTTTATGAGAAAAGTATTTCAATTGTAATATATGTGTAATTCTACCTTTTAGCTTGTATAGGTTTAACAAGAAAGTAAACTTAGGAGAGGAGGCAGAACTGGTTCTTTTTAGGCACTCCTCCCTTCTAGTGCCTTTCAACTCGAGAAGCATTAATGTTTATATTAGATTTAGGGTGTGTTTGGTATGTAGGAAAATGTTTTTCAATTTTCTTATGTTTGGTTCGCTTAAATATTTTGAAAAACATTTTCCTCCGCTGCATCCTGCCTTTTACCTCTAGAACTCCTCTAAGTGCAAATACCTTAAAAGATCAACCTGAACTTTGTGTAGTTTAGCTCTATTGTTGGCAGTTGGATTAAACTCAAACTCCACCTCATGAACTTTAGTTACATTCTATTTTGTGACTATTTGGGGAGCTTTGAAGTAGTTCTTGAAATTTGAACCAAATTTGAAGTAGAAGATGATATGTTTATCTAACTATGTATTTCCGGTTTATAATTTGTGTATCTCATATGTATAAAATGTGTATCCGTTGAATACATATGAGATAAATGAGAGATACACATTTCATAGAGAAATTTTTAAACTCGATTTTAAATACGAATTGTGACTCAAAACCAGTCTAAATTCCCTACATTCTTACTCAAATTTTGCATATTGCCTCATTATGTGTTTTCGACGAATTCGAATCATACTCATTAAAAAAAATTGCCTAGGTTTTTTGAATGTTGTACATCATTAATAACAAATTTTGACCCCAAACTAGTTCAAATTACTTCCAACCTCTCTCAAATTTTGTATATTGCCTTATTTATGTGTTTTCGACGAATTGTAATCATACCCATTAAAAATTCTTTTTTTGCCTAGATTTTTTGAACGTGGTATATTATTTATATCTTTTTATAATTATTTTTAGTAGCATGACTTGATTGCTAATTGTTTATAAGTATTGTCTATTTCTCATTATTCCTGCCATTCTCTAAAAGAAATAGTGAGATACAAACTAGGGGCTGACTAGGTGAAAAGATATTTTTTAAATGAAGTTTATATTGGACTTGGAGTCCGTTAGGGCATCTCCAACCTTTCACTCCAAATCTTTACTCCAAAATAGAGTAAATTAACTCCAACCATTACTCTATTTTTTACTCCAAAAAAGAATATTC